CATTTCGCACAACAAGAAATTATCTTTGTTAAAAACGTAGAAATTAGAAAAGCTATTAATAGAAATGTACCTAAATTTAGTTTTTTGTTGTGGTTATTCTGTTTCTTTTGTTTAGAGGAAAATGTGGATCTTAAAGGACCTCTTTGTTATGTATATTTAGCACAATTCCACTAATCGTGAGTCTTTACGAACAATCAATTTGTTAAATATTGTCGGCTTCAGAAGAATTCCTTCTAATCAATTTACAATTCTATGGGAATCACCCAGTTTCCTTTGACAGACTATTTCGTTGAGAATGTGTTTTCGATTGGTACGCAATAAACCACAAGCAAATAATATTCTCATTGAAAGTAATTTAGACAATAACAAGAAACTTCAGAATAAATTATCAAAGAACGTTATACAATCAAGATGGCGAAAATTCTGTGTGCGTTCAAGAATGGTTTATTCTTTCTAAATATTCCTTTTCTCGCTTTCCTTCATATATATATTAAACTTCAACAAGCAAGCTGTTTTTCTAATTACTACATTCAGTGGATTTCTGAGATATATACTGTTTCATGGTGAATTTTCCCTTAAAACCTACCATACATTCGCCCTGGTTCAGATATCGCCTAGGCGTGAATACATCCTCAATTTTTTTATTTAGTTTTATAATTAGTCTGATTTTATAAAGCTTATCATATAGGGGATCCGCCATTTTTGGCATGATAGCAGATTCGTGTTCAGAATCCTTTTAGCAGTTATGGTTTCTGCTACTCTGTATGTATGAATATTTCTATCACACGACCACTACATTTCCATTCCAGGAAAATAATGGAATCCCATGACTACAAAAATACCAATTTGCCCGAGTACAATTCAAGTTTACATTGCTGCTGTTCAACACACACACTGGATTAGGCTATTATTTCTTTCGACAATCTCATTATCTAGGAAGTATTTGAATGTTTCCACAGGCGAATTTACGTTCATATTTGCAATTTTAGATGCATATTCCCCGTCAAAATTCATTTTTCTGATCTACATCAGTTATGAAAGTTCCATCAGCGGTCAAATTTTCTTTAGTGGATGAGTTTTTTATGGTTGCCAGGAAACATTATCATTCTAGTTATTATGAACTGACACGTGGTTGCTATTCACCAACACCCAATTTTATGCACTGTATAATAAACCAATTAACCATATTTACCGTTCCCCCCTCCCCACCTTCGACTGATTTTGTGGCGATCTAACTAACCACTACGCGTTCCTAAACGTTCATACATAAAGTCGAATATACAGTAATGTACCATTCATTTTAAATAAAGTAAGTGCCGTAAAGAATATGGTTAGTTTATTAACCACATACGTTTAAAGGATTAAAATTCCATCCAAATTAGGGAACATTAAACTTTGATTTAGGTAGCAACCTATATTATATTTCTTTTTAATAAAGGAAGATCGATATGTTATAAAAGAGTTTTTGAAGATATCTTAAATAATTATATCGTAGCTAGCGGTTAATTCATTGAAAATTTCCATAATGTGATAAAAAGGTTATTATCACAAAATAACATTTAAATTAATCTACGCGGCACATAAAAATTGTTGCCAAAGTTGTGTGATTGATACGTTAACTTTAAAAGGATGATATCGCGCCTAATAAGTACGTACCTACAGTGAAGGCCCAAACCTATTTACAATTCAGTAATACAGCCTTGTTTTGACTCGATAACACTATGTTGGTGAGCTTCCTAAAAACAAAGCACTTCAATATGGTAGAATCGCGGATACGGAATGAAATAGGAGCGGAATATGAAGTGTGTTTAAAGACAAGGGAAATGAAGCCTCTAAGGGGGGTGAGTATGTGGAGCTCATACATTTGCCTGAAGTGGAATAGCTGCGCCAATGCGCCTATTTACTGTTTAGTTACAATACATTTAAATGTAGCTTCAGTTTTATTAGATATAGGTACATACGTATGCAGTAACTTTAAAAATTAATATTTTTTTATTTTATTTTGAAGTCATATTTTGTTGATTGTTAATAGTTTTCAATTTATGATGTTCTCAGAAGTTTGTTGTTAAAATTAATTCAAAAGAATTTTTTTCTGTATGTTATTCCGTAGTCCAATGTGTAAAAACATAGGCTTTGTTGTCTCGTTCCTATAGGACTTATTTAGAAACAAAGGTGGGTAACGCTGTGTTGAATGACACTTTTGTGTTAATATCATTCAGTGTATCACATGTGTTAGAAAAATCTATTCGTTACCAATGATAGGACTTCACACTTTAACGACAGCTTGATATCTAACAATTGAATATAACATTCCGCTGTCGGTGTGTTCTGTGCTGTACTGTCAAATCTGTCATAATTCTAATAAGCTTTATTGGTACATGGTTACATGTTGGATTCTTGAGTTGTCAGCGATCCTGAGGCAGAAATCACCGATTTACAATTGTTACATGTAGGAACCTTCGACTCCTGGTGAGTAATTGTAGTAGTACCATAAACCAGTATCAGAGACCATGGCCGCTATGCAGGTAGTTTCTAAAATAAGTAGCAAGCTTGCATTGTTTGTTGTACTTCCATTCCATGGGGTTTTAGGTTCTACTTAGGTGCTGTAGGCACTTTAGTAGCATCTTAATATTTTTTGGTAACGGAGGATTGCAACTTGTTCTGTAAAAATGTAGCTTCCTATTTGTGGCCGGTCACTCGTTTTCTTGATCCATTTCATAAAATATCGTTTCTGTTTTCGCGGTCGAAGTTGTTTGCAAGCTGTGAAATTTCTGTGGAATGTAAAGGCCAAATATGATCTTCAACGGATCTCTATTGCTCGATTGCTCTCTCGTTGGCGCGAGCATCCTATCTGCTAAAGCTTCTCAGAGAGATCAGTTGGTTGCATTTTCATGCTTACTAAATCCTATTTGGTTGGATTAGTCTCTTATTTCTTCATTTTCATTACTATATTATGTGGTGTGCTTTTGCTATTATTTCACATTCTTCGTCACTTTTTTTTATTTCCTTCAATCTGTTACTATTTGTTTCTAACTCTTAATCTTCACTCCTCTTAGATCCTCTTCTACCTCATCTAACCATCTTCATCTAGACCTTTATCTTGCTTTTCTATTTCTTGGATTCCACTCAGTCATCATTTTCACATTTATAGGTATATGTCAGTTTGTGCTTTTATAGTCTGAACAGTGTCTTCATTTTTAAAAATTGAAATATTTCCTGGTTTGTTCTCCTCACATTGTGTAATATATTTTTAACCAAGCCGTAATAAAATTGAAAACACGCAACTCGCCCTGCTTGTGAAGAAAGGGTTGCAAGTTATAAGTAAAAAATATTTTGTCTGAGACTGATAATAAAAAGTCTTTAAATGCTAAAGAAATAAAAGACATGGCATTTGTAAACACAGACGAACATATAATTTTTTTATTTTTTAATAGCTATTATTGACAAAAGAAATCTCGGAAAACACGTGTGATAGAATTCATACTCTCATGTCATAAATCATTGTCGATTAATTATAATTTTATCAATACAAAAATACAACTTACAATGTTCACTTTCGTTTTATATTATATCGATTCTTTACTTATGAAAACTAATGTTGATACTATCTTGCTTAATTTTGCAGCTCACCATGCAACACATTGTTAGTATGGTTTGTATTTTTTACATGCGATGTTAGTGAGCATGTAAATATATCTAAGTGAAGAAATAGATGCACGGGAATGAAGCTCAGATGAAAGTGCCAATCAGGTATTTATGCTCTAAACGTTACTCATAACTATTTGGTACATTGGTTTCTATTAAATTAAAAAATATATAAGATGCGAGTAATGCAAAACGTTCAATGTTGATTATTTTTATGTTGTTTCGTATCCAATAACGTAATACTCAGTAATGCTGTTGTCTCTAATAATACCTGGTGTGACAAATGTATACACGTAATAAGTTCTTATACTGAAGGTGCTCCAATGAATTTCCATTTTGTAAGTACATGGTTGTTTCTCTTAAGCTGAATTATTGGGAAAATGTTAAATTGACAATGATTTTGTATTTCTTGAATGAAGTCAAATATTGCTTCAATGCTATTAATTCCACTTGTAAATGACTCTCGAAGATTGCGATGGTTAGTTTAATTGTCTTTTACATTTATTTACCTGTCTACTAATTAAATTGTAGGAATTTTAATTGCTACACTTTTTATAATCAGTTCTAGATTGTTGCATGATGTATTTTTATCCTAATTAATTATTATTTCATCATAACTTATTAGAATTAAAAATTAAAATGAAGGAAAATCATATACTGAATGGATCTTAATTAAGCTAGATTTTTATAAATTATTATGATTGAAAAATTGGTAAGAAATACTGTAAAGCAAGCTGTCACCATAAAATTCTCCAGCTTAAGCAAAAATTTACCATAAAAGGCAGCAGGTCAGAAAATAAACTATTAAGTGGTCTCTAAAGTTTTGGCATCATACATGCCATATTACAAGACAAATAAAAATAGTGTTAACGAGCTTTGATACTTATATGACACATTGGCAACCTAGCAAAGTAAGAAAAGGAGCGTAAGGTGATACAAAAGTTACAATACTTATGCGAAATTTGAAAGAATATATTGAATCAACGATTATCGTTAGTTAATAAATAATATCATACAAAAATGTTTGTTTTCTTAACATGTTTAAGAGAATGTGAGGAAATATTGGAAAAATTAATTTTATTTTACAGAATACCAATGGAATATTTATGCCAATAAAAATGAGTATTGGATTACACCATGTTGAAACATTGTTTTTTGCTTTTAAATCAGTTCATTTGATATAATGAACCAGATGGGTTTGCAATAGAATGGACTAGCTTTTGGTTTATTTCTAGCTTAACAAGCAAAAGTTAAGGGAATTAACATGTCTTTGAAATTGCAAAATAGCAAATAAAGAGAATAAAGTTTCGATCAACTACGATGTACGTTACGCATGCAGCATTAATGTTGCTCACTCTGTTTCGCTTAATCCATCGATGATGTGCTTCGGCTTGCCTTTGTCGATGCTGTTGGGCTTCATGGGAGAGAGAACAGCGTCTTCCACCTGCAGCTGCAGCAGCTTGTCTTTCTTGCCAGGCTGCCCGCCCCTGTGAACACTACATGTACCCTCATATTACACAACATTGGTTACAACAAATATCGCATGCATGCCACTAATGCCATCGTAGATGTGTATTGCAGGTATTAATTTTTCAATATTTCATTGCAAGAAAATTTAGAATTGCTGTTTCTTCAACTTCTTACATTTAAAACTCAGTAAACTTCATTAACTTTCTAAAGAAGTAGAGATGACTGGTTTCCACTTCATTATTATTTAAAGGCTTGGAAGATCGGCAATTAGTAATCGATTCATATTTTTAATTTTATAACTGTTACTAGGTAATATCAATGGAAGACTGTTATTAAACTGAGATATGAAGATATGCTTTGAAAATACAGGCTGCAGCAAAATCGGAATTCGTAAAACGAAGACACTCAAAACGGAACTAACGTAAAGCGTAAGGCATGACTTCATTTAAAAGAAAATATTAAAATTAAAATAAAAATGATTCTGTAAACATCAGAAGTAGGTTTCAGATTGAAAGTAGACATTATCAAAAAGTTTATTTGTGATTCGTTGATTTCATCTGAGGACCGGTTAGATTACTATTGTTAACTCATGATTTCAATGTAAAAATGACAGTTTGACATATCGCTAAAGCTAATGTTTAAAAATCTGCATAGAACGAGTTCTTCATGAATAAAATTATCATTTAGTTTCTAACCTTACCAAATTCTAATAAGATCGCTTGAATAGATGGTCATCCTACCTAATTACATCCATGTTAAAAATTTTAATATAACGCTGATTGACTATTTTAAGATGAGAGCGAGAACAGCAATATTTGTAAATGACATATTATAACAAATGAGTTTTCACTCTGATTTATGATTCATTAGTACTTATCATTTTAAATCAAATTTTGGTCATTTTATAAAGTGTTCAGACAAATTATAAGATTTTGCGAAATTTTAAAATAGTATCTATTAAATTGTTGAATGCTCAAAGGTCTATCATCCCGTTAAAATGTACAAATTTTTTAAAGCTTTTATTTGACTTGCAATGCTTATATGTTTGTTAGTTTAGGTCAAATCTTGCGAGTTTAATTAGAACCACTTGTTATCCTACGGAATTGAATTTTTACATGTTAGTTCGGTTCCGATGTCAATGCATTTTTCTGGTAAGCGTTATCTTGATTAACATTCAGGATTAGCCCCATATTAAGGAACTCTTCAAAAGTCATCAGCACGGAGATAAAATTTTATGTACGGATTTTATTATGGTAATCAAGATAACCTATTATAAGTGTCAACATGACATGACTACTACATTGAAGGTTAACTCCTAACGATAACAGATAGCAGCACAGACATGAAATATTGTATATGAACAGCACATCCGGATCCTATTCCATTTTCAGATTTATATCAACAATTTAAAGAAAAATGCAAAAAAGATAACGAAAATCAGTTAAAAAATATGGCTCTTGAAAAAGGTAAAATTCTATTCGAATTCGGTTTGAAAAATTTGGTCTTACAAGAAAAGCAATTGTTTCTATTAATAGGATCCGGTGTAATCACTCTTCTATGAACAGTAGCCTATATCGACAAAAAATAATTTCTTCGAATTTATACAAATGTGGAGAGTCTCAAGACTCGATCGAACATATTTTTTGGAATTGTAGACTTTTTGATGTAGAAAGAAGTGAGTTATTGAAAGAATTGAGAAAAGCAGGACAAAATGTTCCTTATTCTTGTATTGCTATGTTGGCTGCTAATGATAAAAAAATTATTCCAATTATTGCTAAGTTTATCATGAAAATCTTTATGTATAAAAGAAACAATTATCTTGATAAAAAAATTGTATGAAGTTTAGTTTGTAAGACAAATATTGTAAAAGTTCTTATTGTATTTTTGTACTTAGAACTTAAGTTCAATTCATATGTACAAAGATAGCTACTGATGTAAAACCATGAAGGCCAATAAACGCAAAGTCTATGTCTATATGAACAGTAGTCTTTTTAGACATAAAATTAGTGATAAGGAAACATAGATGCGGAGAGTCACTGGACTCTATTAACCACCCTGTATAGAGTTGTGCATTGTTTGGGAGAGAAGGAGCTGTATTACCGAGTAATTCGCGAAAAATTGTTAGATTTGGTCCATTCTCTATAAATTTCTTGTTAGCAAGCTGTATCTCATTATTGGAAAGTTGCTAAATGACACAAAATGTAACGTATAATTTTTATAAGTATAATAATTATTTGTATAAGAAATCCATATTTTTTTACTATTAACTTAATTTAATTTTTAGATTTTGTATGAAACTGTTAGATACTGTAAAAAGTATAAAACTGATAATTGTTTAAGATTTGGTAAAATGTAGTATCTGTCTTTGACTGACTGGAGTTTCTTTAATACCCCTGTCTGCCTGAGGCGGGTTGATTCGTTGAAATAATGTTATCATAAGGTTGTGTTTGTTCCAATATACACGATAACTTTTATTATATTTACCATCACGATTTGGGAGTTATACAAACATCACATTTACCGTAACATAACTTTCACTACTTAAAATAACAACAATTGTTGCTACTCATATAATTATGATTAAAGTAAATTGAAATTAAAATTTATAATCTTCACCTATACTTGTTTATTACTTTATCCAAATCTTCCAAGATATTAAATAAAATATTCAGTTAATGGGATTATTTCTGTGTCATTTATCACTTTGTCAAAATTAAGTAGATATTATACATAATGACTGGACAGTATATAGAATATTGTAGGGATTTTTCGCGAACAGTGACGCGTATGTTTGGATTAGTTGAATGCTGAATTTCAAATGTCGCTGATGTTGTTAAATCAGATGGAACAGTTGATTTGTCTCACATTCCAAGCGATGATATACAGGGTGAAGTCAAAAATATCATGGAAAACTACAAACCAACGGAATGTGTCGTAAACGGGAGTAATGAAAGAAGTAGACGAGCAGATCGAAAAGTGGGTCAAAGAAGGAATCGTAAGACCTTGGAACTCGAAGAATTTGCAAGTCCAGTGGTGTTGGTTCGCAAGCGCGACGGATCGGTACGGATTTGTGTTGATTTTCGTAAATTAAATGAAAGGATTATAAGGAGCAGATATCCGCTTCGGATAATAAAGGACCAGCTAGATCGTCTATAGGCAATGGAAATTTTCACAACCCTGGATCTGAAGAATGGGTTCTTTCATGTTCCAATTGACCCAACAATTGTCAAATATACGGCTTTCGTCGTGCCGAATGCGCAATACGAGTTCTTGAGGGCTCCTTTCGGACTTTGTACGTCCTCGGCAGTCTTTCAACGATATATTAACGTGGCGTTTAAAGACTTGGCGAACAAGGTTATTGTCTTAATATATATGGATGATTTAATAATACCCTCCATAGAACATGAAGAAGATTTAGGGCGACTTAAGGAGGTAATTAGAACGGCTAGTGATTTTGAACTCGAGATAAATTGGAAAAAGTGTCGTTATTTACAAACAAAGGTACATTATGTATTTGGGTTATATTGTAGAAAAAGGAACTATAATGCCATCAGAAGATAAAATCAAAGTAATTAGTGTTTCCGTAAACCGGTAATCTGCGCGGTGTTTTTGGACTCACCGGATTTCTTCGGAAATTATTGGGCGACCCTGAGTTATTGAATTAAGTGGCAAGACAAGCCCGACGGAAAAACATTATCATAGTTACGAACTAGAGGTTTTGGCGATAGTGAAGTTCCTTAAAAAATTCAGAAATAACGGACTGTAAAACATTTACGATAACGATTAAGAAGAAAGACATGTGTACACGGCTTGTGAGATGGGCGTTGTTTTTGCAAGACTTTGATTTTACGGTAGAACATCGACCGGGTACGAGTTTAAAACATGTCGACGGATTAAGTCGGAACTCTTTAGCAACCGTAATGTCGATAGATGTTGAAGAAGCGGGAATATTGGCCCAAATAAAGAAAGCTCAAGAAGAAGACAACGAAATTAGAAGATTGGCGGAATCAGATGAAGGTGAACATCGAATGCAAAATGGGTTGTTGTACAAAGAAGTTGGTGGTGAATTTTTGATCGTTGTCCCGAAGAAGATGCAAGCAAGTTTCATTAAATTTATTCACGAACAAGGTCACATGGGAATTCCTCAGACGGAGAAACTATTAAAGAGGGATTACTGGTTTCCTAATAAGCGGGCAAAAATCGAGAAACTGTGTGAAATGTATTTTGGCCAACCGTAAAACAGGGAAAATGGAGGGAATGCTAAATCCAATAGAAAAGGGAGACGCTCCACTGGACACCTACCATATAGACCATCTGGGGCCACTGGCATCCACCAAGAAGGGGTACAAATACATCTTCGCAGTAATAGATGCATTTACGAAATTTATATGGTTGTATCCAATCAAGACCGCAACTGCTTTGGAAGCGATCGAAAGGTTGAGGAAACAATCCGTCTGTTTCGGCAATCCAAGAAGAATCATATCAGACAGGGGTTCAGCGTTTAGAGCCCAGGACTTCGAAAATTATTGTGTTTCTGAGAGAATTAAGCAGGTGAAAATTACGACGGGGGTGCCCAGAAGCAATGGACAGGTCGAGAGGTTAAATAGAACGCTGATTCCAATGGTAACAAAATTATCGTATCCAAAAGCGGAAAATTGGTACAAGTACATTGATCGATGCCAACAATACATCCACCACGTGCCGACCCGCAGTACAGGGTTTGATCCATTTACGTTGATGTTTGGAGTTCGTATGAAATTAGAGGACGATACTGACCTTCGGAAAATTTTAGAACAAAAAGAAGCTCAAAATTTTGTCGAAAAAGGACGTGATTTGCTGGTCCAGGCCAAGAAATCCATTGCGAAAATACAAGAGGAGAATAGAAAGTATTTCAACAAGAAACGAAAGGAAACTACGTCATACAACCTTGGGACATTGTTGCCATCAAGCAAACGCAATTACGAACGGGATCAAAATTCTAGCCAAAATTCTTGGGCCCCTACGAGGTAATTCAGTAGCTGCCCCA